CATCAAGATTTACAATAAAAGAGATAAAAATGTTATAATATTTTAACAAATTATATTATTTAGTACCACTAAAATTTTTAAAATTCAAAAAAATTTCTCACCAATTATACTAAATATAACCTATAATGGCTATAATATTTTCACTAAAAAATAAAAATAAAATCTTGTTCCCGCGGTTAACGCCGTAAAAACACACCTCTGCAAGTTAGGAACCGCCAAAGTTGCCACATCACCATTTTCTTCCAAAGAACCGATTCCCTCACAAACTCACCACACATTATATCCCATCCCACCCAAATTTCCCTCTTCGCCGTTGATCACAAACATCTGTATTCTTTTCTTCTCTTAATCAAGCGGACCAAAAAAAAGTCGTCAGATTGGAATTCAAGATGAAGTAGAATAGTTTTCCAATTTTCTTTTAATATTATTTTTGGTTGTAATAAATTGAGGGGTGGAGTGAAGCTCTGATTTTTTTGTTCATATATGTATTGTTTATTTTGGGCACAAGAGAGTTATTGGGTGAATGAGCGAAAACCACTAAACGGCTATAATTGATTGCAGAGGGCAAGCTGCCATTGGAGGAGCTCCAGTGTTTTCCTTTTTCTTTGCGAATTTGCTTTTCTGGATATTTTGGGGTCTGGATTCCTTTGATCTGGGTGCCAAAAATCTCTGGAAAATTCAAGGAATCAACCCCACATTTTTTCTTTTTCAATTTTTCCAGCGGTATTGGGTTCCTTGTCGGAAGTCTCTGGTGGGATGTTAATCATGTCTGATGGGTATTCCAGTTCGAAGAAAACTGATGATATATGTCAAGATGTCTGCGCTCAGGTAGTTTTGCTTTTCTTCATTTTAAAGTTTTGCCTTTTTTGCTTTTGTTTTGTATTTTTTTATTTGTTTTGTATAATGGGATTTTTGTTTTCTGTGGGTTGGAGGAGGGAAGTTGGTTAAATTTCAGGTTTTTTTATTTGTTTTTCGGTTCTCCTCTCCTCTTTTTATGCATTTTTGCTCAGTATTTTTCTTACTGGGTTGATTTCGATTTTGAGTTCTGATACTGATTGTTTTTCTCCGGAGGGTGTTTGCCCCAATTTTGTTTAGATATATATTGAACTGGGAATTTTATGCTCCTTTGAGAATTCAATGGATTTTTTTTGCATTGATGTTCTGCTTTTCTCTGTTTAATCTTATAAAGTGAAAATTCATGTCAGACAGAAGGATATATGAAAAATATCGCTTCCGGTTTCGGATAAAAGGATTTTCATTTATGTAACTGGGGGCATTTCTGCATGAATTTTTGTTCAACAAGTTGAAACTTGTATGTGAGGCTTATGAAAATTGGGTTTGTCTTGTTGGAAAATGGTGTAGATCAGAAATAATAGATTTATCTAGCTACATGATGTAAAGTCTAATCCTTTGTATTACACCAAGATTGAATTGACATGTTTTTTTCGCTTGTTCTTAATCTGGGATTCTAAGAACTTTGAACATATTTGTTGTTGATGTGTAGCATGCAACACGAGCAGCATTGGCCATGTCTAGATTGCGGTGCATTTTGCGGGGCTATGATGTGAAGACTTATATTGTTGTGTTCTTGATTCTACCACTAGCCCTCTTTGGCTTATATTTGCATGTACAGAAAGTCACCTACTTCCTAAGACCACTGTGGGATTCTCCACCAAGGCCTTTCCGTGAAATCCCTCACTTTTACCATGAGAATGTGTCAATGGAGACCCTTTGTAACCTTCACGGGTGGAAAATTCGTGAATCCCCAAGAAGAGTCTTTGATGCAGTGTTGTTCAGCAATGAGATAGATATCCTCAGAATTCGATGGAATGAATTGTATCCCTATGTAACAGAATTTGTGCTCCTCGAGTCAAACTCAACATTCAGTGGCCTACCAAAACCATTGATTTTTGCAACCAATCGGCACAAATTTAAATTTATTGAGCCTCGTTTGACCTATGGGGTGGTTGGTGGGAGATTCAAGAAAGGTGAGAACCCATTTGTTGAAGAGGCATATCAGAGGGTTGCTTTAGATCAACTTCTGAGAAGAGCAGGCATAGAAGATGATGATTTACTGATTATGTCTGATGTGGATGAGATCCCTAGTGCCCATACAATTAATCTCTTGAGGTGGTGTGATGACATCCCGCCTGTCCTTCATCTTCAGTTGAGAAATTTCTTGTACTCTTTTGAGTATCATATAGATAACAAGAGCTGGAGAGCCTCCGTCCATATTTACAGGTCAGGCAAGACTAGATATGCTCATTTTCGTCAAGCTGATATCTTATTATCAGATGCAGGGTGGCATTGCAGTTTTTGTTTTCGCTATATTAGGGAGTTCATATTTAAGATGAAAGCTTACAGCCATAATGATCGGGTTAGGTTCTCTCACTTCCTCAACCCCAAAAGGATTCAGGATGTAATCTGCAAAGGGGCTGACCTTTTCGACATGCTTCCCGAAGAATACACCTTCAAGGAGATCATTGGGAAAATGGGGCCAATCCCTCGTTCTTATTCAGCGGTTTATCTCCCCCAATATTTGTTGAATAATGCAGAGAAGTACAAGTATCTCTTGCCTGGTAACTGTAAAAGAGGAAGTGGCTGAGTTCATAGTAAGTGAGTTGTTTTATTAAAGGTCAGAACCACTGATGGGGCTTGCACCAACAAGGCTGCTATTGGATATGTGGTGGCTATGGTGTGCCTTTAGTAGAGCTATACCATTTTTCAACATTATGGGATCTTCAATTGTGAGGGGAAACTTCTTATATTCCTTTCCTGGGGTTGGGTTTCTTCTGATATGGAAGCATGTCCAATTTTCCCTGTAGAGTGCTTGTAATGAAGAGATGGATAGATTTACCAGTCTGGCACGTTTACATGCCATCTTGTGAAGATAGATGGATAGTTCCCCTGATCTAGATTGACATCTCCCTGGTTTCCTTTGATGGGAATTTTGTGTTGTTAGAGTAATTTATTAGCATATCCCACTTACAGATGAATCATTGCTGGATCAACTATTTTTTCCTTTGAACATGCATTAGGATTGTGGTCAATCGTCAATGTGCCTTTTCTTTTATTGAAGTCGAATGAAATCTCCCTAACTCACTTAAATTCTCTACCATTTATGGTTTTCTACATTTAAAAGATTTCCCTAATGTTGGGTTTTGCTGCTGAAACTGCTAGAGATATCACCTTTTAATCTAATCAATTGTTGCGGTTGAAGAGGGGTTGACATATTCCAAGTCAAGCTACGTTCTTAGTCATTTTGATTGGGATTTTAGAAATGCTTTTAAGCATGATTCAGCCTGTTCCACCACGACACAAATGGTGAGAACAATGGATTTATTAAAGTAATGCATTGTCAACACCTTGGGTTTTCATTATTGGCCTTGGCTATTCTTTTGCTACTGATGGTTTTGACTCCTCTGGCGTTCGCTGCTGCTGGGGAAGTTGATTCTTGAGGCAGTAGCTTTCCATAGATTCAACTCCCCGGAAGTTTAGTTTATTAGTCCTGGCCTGCCGCACCAGTCACCAAATGCGGCATAATCAGCACGGAGTCATCATATTATATCATTCATAGTGAGGTCAGCTATTTATCATTAGCCGGTTTTGCAACTTAGGAGGAGATAACCCTTTCTTATCTATTTTCATCATGGTTTATTTTGCTGATATGACTTGAATTATAAACCTAAAAAGAAAAGAAAAGAAAAAGAAAAGGAAAAAGAAAACCTTTCCTTTTAGCTCAAACTTTTATCCATAAATCCCTCATCTTTTAAACCATCACAACATTTCAGCTCAAGTCCTCAAAACTTGCAGCATTTTTTGGTGAAGTAGTTGAACTGAGGATTGTATTCATAACTTCCCCCACAGACTCTGTCCCAACCTTAACATGCCGTTCCAAGTAGTGACCATTTAAAAAGGACACACAAATATGGTAAGAGGAGCACCCAAAGGGGATTGTGGAGGAAACATGTCCCAAAAGTAGTTGTTTTGCCTATCCACCTATTGCTTATTATTAGTCAAAAAGAAGATAACAGTTGCACAATGACACAGCATGGTTCATGTGATGCCATAGATTAAGAATATTAAGACTTAAAAGTACACGGAACAGATTCTTTCTGTTAAGTTTAATGGTAGATAAGAACCCTTATCCTGATTGGTGATAGTGACCGAATGAGTCATAGGAGTTTTTTCCTTATCCTTCCAAATCTGTAGAACGGGAATGTACTAGTTGACAAATGACGTTGAGCTAATTAATTTGACAAGTGATTAAGGAATCATGTCGTTTATTATATGTACAGCCAGCATATTAGGATTGATGCATCAAATGATAACTAGCGTCCACTGCCTACAGTGACATAGCAAACAAAATTCTGCATCCTTTTGTTAGTGTTAACTTGAAGAACTAAAATTAGTTGAAAGATCATTTTGTCTTCTGATGCATGATAAGATCAGGATTAGGATAGGATTTATTGACAAATAAGATCGATCATCTTTCATTGAGGGAAGAGAAAATTGCAGGAGACAGGTTGTTCAAACAGAAAAACATTTTTTTCTTTCAATTATTGGTACTACCAATAATATAATTACAGCACTTCAATAACCATGAAGAGTAATTATCTCTGTTTCAATGTTGAACAGAGGACGAGTACACATCCCCACATTTATTAGCGTTCCAAAGTAGAAAGAATGGCTGTGCATTGTGATCACACAAGATAAAATTAATCATAAAATGACACCATTCTTGTGATTTTCATCCATGTGAATCACAATGAATGGGTTTAAATTTGTCTCCTTGAACTCCTTGACTTCAAATGGAGGAAAGCGAATTGGGAAAGGAAACCTGCAATTAGTCGCTGTCCCAGGTCTCATCCACCTTTTTTGGTGTTTTTGATCTTTGAAAGGCCTCATTTTTCTCACCTTTGTTTAGGGGATGATACTTGTCTTCTTCACTCCTGAAGTCATATCTTTCTGCTCTTGATTCTTCATCAGAGTCTGATTCCCACATTGCAATTTCAGAATCAATTTAACACATTATCAGACATAGAACCTCTGGCAGCCATCTTTCTCCTAGAGTTAACTTCAGTGAAATTGTCTCTAGTACTGCTCTCCTGATTCCATTCTGCTGTATTAAGTGTCTTGAATTCTTCATCAGGACTACTTTCATAATCATGCATCCCATTTCTCTTATTTCCATTATTGGGAAAAGATTCATCCTCTTAATCAATACTGCTCCTGAAATCATACGTGGACACCGCTTCTGATGATCTAGAATCATGGTCTTCCTCAGCATCAGATTTCCACATTGCATTATCAAGATCCCTCAGATCATTTTCTGACTCAGAATCTACTTCTGCCATCTTTCGTTCATAACTAGGCTCAGCATTTCTCTTGAAACCTGCAGTAGCATTTGATCTGCAAATCTTATCCAGCTTCCCCTTTTCAACTCTGGATCTCTTGAATTCATTATTAGCTTCTGCAGAGTCATAGTCACTCCCAAGGTCACTCATAATCTCAGCATTACCAGAATCCCATTCATTATCACCCCCAAGATTATCAGCATCTTCATCATCACTCTCACTAGTCCTTCTCTTGCCAAATCTATCCTTCCAACCTCTCAACTCTCTAGTCTCATTATCAGAGTAATTGTTTCTACTCTGGACCTTCCTCCAATTTCTTCTCTGTTCCAGTATCTAATTGTTCCAAGCTCTCTTTCTTCAGCTGCTTCCTCTTCAGCCCATTCACGATCTGCTGCATCTTCAATTTCAGCTATGAATTTATCTAGGTCCTCCTGATCACTATCATCGGGAGGTTCTGACAGTGACATATTCATGTTAGGTGCTGTGTCAGACTTCTTGTTGTACCCATGAAAGACA